GCACTCACACTAATAATGATTAAACTGACATCATTAATCTCAAATCATTTAGATCTCTGTGAGTGTCTCACTTTCTCCCAGTTTGATTAGACACCCGTCTCTCACCCGCTGATGTGGAGACTCCTGAGGCAGAGCAGAAAATGTACACAGGTAGGCTTCAATAGAGCCCACCACTTTAACTCCATTGCAGTGTAGGAGAAAGGTAGCACTAAACTTCTAAGACTTCCATTACTGGGCCCAATAAAGTGGATACATTTCATCAGTCACGTTGTCCATTCTGCTCACACCCCTTACTTGCACGTACTGTAGCAACAAGGCAGCAGCAGCGAAAGGGTTAAGTGGCCAGTCTCTCACCTAGAAGCTCATTTTGGAAAACAGCTTTGTTTGTAGTTTAACTGTATTACATTTTTTTTCAGTGCTTGAGCCCAAATATTCACGCCACAATCAACTTCATTGCTAGGGTACCCACTGATGAGATTTACCTGTCTGGTTTACATGTCTCAAAGCACTGCACTCATGAGGGGATAATTTTATTGTGTATAGTTAGTTAGTTATTGATGAGACAATTTATTACAGCACCCATTTTTTTGTGATGGCAGAATCTCAAATCCAGAAAGATTTTAGAACATTTGGTCAGAATTTAAGTTTTACTTCATTTATTTATGAGTAAATGATAATTATTAATTGTTCAGATAGAAAGTCCACCACTGTGCCTTTTTAAAGGTAAGTAAACTACCACTTCAACATGATTAGGTTACAATATTTTATACTGTGCATGTTAATCATCAACAAAATCCTCTAAGTTTTAACATCTTCAAAAGCAGTACCAAACCGCTTCCCCAAAGCAACAATCCTTGCTGCCATATTCACACAGGTATTTCTATGAATAAATTCAGGGAATTATTTAAAGCGTAGGCCCAATATTAGAATAACATGTAACACCAGTTTCATCACCAAATAAGCCTGATGATCACTAGGCCATCTATCCATCTGCAGACCCAAGGTGGCTGTGCTTTCCTTACTGCGACCGTCATCGTGTTATAAGGTGAAGCTTAAATTCACATCACAAATTTGTATCACAGCTAATTAGTTATGTTTTAGTTAAGTTTTAGCCACTAGACAGGAAAATCTGCGAGGAAACACTGAGTTTTATCTTATAAAGTAGAAATAGTCTCGCCAACAACTTCAGGATTGGCTCATTTACTGCATTTCATTTATAAAGTGGCCAATTCAATTAATTTAATTTCCTTGTGCATATGAAATAATAACATTTCATAATAACATTTCACACTTGATTATAAAATCAAGTGTGAAATGTGTTATAGATTATTATTATTTTCTGCAATTGAGAAGGCAACATGAGAAATGCGCTGTAATACTAATAAGCCACTGGTAGTCTTGTCTCACTAATAGTGTAGGGACTGTTTCATGTGTAACATACCCTCCTGTCTTTATGGATTTCAGGGAACATCAAGAACGAAGGCACAGTACTTGGGATTTCTGGTGCAGTCTAGTTAACTAGCACCTGTTACGTTTACAAAAACAGCCCATAAACAAAACTGCACTGATGCTGGAACGTGTGCATAGTAGCTGTCCACCTATTTACAGTGCTTAAACTGGAGGTCTGAGATTTTGTTGTTTCTTAAAACTTAAAATGACTGTGTGTATATACTCATTGCTTTATTAGTTTGTACACTTATATCCAGCAATCCAATATGACTGTGATCACCACTATTGCACTTTTGGCAGACAAAATCACGCATCTCCAGCCCATCCTCAGCTCAGTACCTTGTTAGAAAATGACACAGTGTGCTCTGGAATTTGCCTAAAGTCCCAGGATGCTCACTGTACACACCACAGAGGGCAAACAGAGGTTAACAACCCTTTATTAATCCCTGCTAACAGAGACACCCAGAGGGAGAGGCACAGAGAGAGGGAGAAAAAGAGGTGTTCAATAGACTGAGAGAGACGAGCAGAGACAGAAACCAGCAAAAACAAGGAAATTTGCACATAAAAAATAAGAAAAAGACACTAATAAGGACAGATGGAAATGAGAAGGGAAATGCTCTGTAAAGCCGAATAAAGGCAGATACCAGCTTTGACTCTGAGCCAATGATATCTAACGACCCCCTGCATAGCATGGCAAGATGGTTGACTGCTCCCCACCCTCTGCCAAGACACACTCAACAGTGTCTCTTTTCTTTCTATCGGAAAAACACACAAAGACACACACTAACAGCTACGGCGCTGTGGGAACGCACTTAGGAGGTTTGAGCTGTAATTGGATCGGCCTCTATTTGGGGTCAGTGGTAAAAGTGAAAAGACTGGAGGCTTTTTCAAATGGACTAAAGACCAGGGAGACACCGGAGAACGAGAAAGGTCACTGTCAACTAGTCCTGTGGGGGAAATGTGTGCGTGTGTGTGTGTGTGTGTGTTTGTTTAGGGGGGTGTAAGAAAGGGAGACAAGGCTGGGGATGCTGAATAAGAAGTGATAGCCAGGTGACGATGCTGAGATGGAGAGAGTGGAAAGACGGCAGGGTGATAATAAGGGTGTTTGAATCATCGCAGACTAAACTTGCTTCACGTAGTGGAGTGTTCGCTGGCGAACAGGTAGAAAAACTGAGAAGAGATTGAGAGAGGCAATGACAAGTGAGAAAATTAGGAGAATAATTCAAATTCATATTGACGATACGGTATTCACTGCAGCCGTAGAGTTTGACTGAGGGGAAATAACACGGGTATTGCCAAATCACATTTTACTGTCCTCCTCACAGAGATGTCTCTCTCTCTCTCTCTCTCTCTCTCATCGTCCCTGCTCTGCACTCAGCCCATCTCTCACTGCCACCAATCAATTGACAGATCGATTCCAGGGTACACGTGTGTGTGTGTGTGAGGGTTGATGTGACAAACTGTAAGTGGTTGAAAAGATGGCTCTGAAATGGCAGTGCATCTCCTTTAATGGTGTATAATCTTAGAGAAATGTATATTCAATATATAATCATATTCAAATATTAAAAGATCAGTATCTTGGCTGAATTTGTCAGATACTCTCTCTCTATACTTTAGAGGTTTCTTTTCTAATTTTAATGATTTATCCAATGTTTTATATCCAACATGGATACATTTCATTTTAGATATCAACCAATCACAGTTTGGTGCATTCATTCAAAATGACAAATCATTTCCATTCTTTTGATTTCCTCTCTCCCACTCTGTAATTCCCTGATGTAACTCCTGACCTCTTTCTCTCTGAGTCTTTCTCCGCTCTCATCCTCCCATCTGGCTAGGTATGAACTAATCCCCTGTGTCTTTGCTGCAGCAGACTGTACAGGGGACAAACCTGCTGCCTGAGTGTATATTTGCAGGTGGCATGCCTTTAGTGTGTGAGTTTAATTAGAAAGTGAGGGGGAAAGCGGAAAAACATGCGGAAGAAAAACTGCTGAAATGTAGTTTACAGACTTCTTTTTATTGTTCTTTTAACTGTACACTGTCAATTTATTAACTAATTTAAACTGTCAGACTATATTTCAGTGTGTATTTTCATGTGAATGAATTCCATTTCTGGAAGACCAATAGGCAGTTTTTCATGCTGATCACTGCCAGTCTTTTGTTCTACTGCATTTTCAGTAAATTCAAATTCAGTAACCGTGGGCATATGGAAGTATTTCAGAACAAAGAAAGATTAAATTAGATTTTTTTTCTCACTTCATACTGCAGCACATAACAGGTTTGATTCCAGCCTGACAAGATGTATACAGTCAGCTGCAGTACTTACTGCAAATGCCCTCTTATTCTCACAGCGGAATATGTATAACTGACAGAAAAACACTCCTGTGCACACACTCTCTCTCTCTCTCTCTCTCTCTCTCACACACACACACACACACACACACATACACACAAGGTTATGGTTAGCAGTCACACACAAACACAGTGTTCAGTTTGTTTCGCTAGGCTGATTTGAAAGACATTTAATTATTGAAAATGCAATTAATGTAGCTTTGGGTGGGAATAGGGAGGACACACACACACACACAGAGACAACATAGGAGGACACTGTGAGCAAGCAATATATCCACAGAGATTAACCAGTGATCCAGATGAATATGGGATTAATACACTGCGATTATGACAGGATGAAAGGGATAGTGCTTTTCTGAATATGGAGCTGCTAGAACTAAATGAGGATTGAGGAGGTCATTATCTTAGTTGCAGGACTAAAGAGATCATATTCAGATAAGAGAATGAGACATGAGGAGGAGGAACACTGAATTGTTTATTATTGACCATGCTGGTATTTCTCCCCCTCTTTTGGTATAAAGATCCTTTGATTTAACCAGATTTATATGTCATTTTTGTGTCAACGGAATCTGCGGGCTCTGTTATGCATTTTCACCAAAACCACCATGAACACACACACACACGGAAAGACCTGCATATGAAGGTGTGTGTGTGTGTGTGTGTGTGTGTGTGTGTGTGTGGAAGGGCGGGTGGGGGGGCTACTACAATCTGCCTTGTTAATTCACACACATTCACTCACTGCGCCTTTGCCTGTATTTCAAGGACAAGAACCACACAGCGAACCCTGAGCTCAGTGGAAAAAACAACAATAAAAACATGCACTGCAATCGTAGACCACCGGCAAAATTAAATATCATTGGGTGTTGGACACACGGGTAACGGCTTTAATCAAGGCTTAAAGAAATATGTTGACTCCAATGTGCGTCCACCCGCCCCCTTCATCAAATGCCTACACATGTTGATTATAGCATCATAATCCCTTTACACTATTCCATACAATTCCCTATTACAACTACACATTCCTACACCTTCATAAAAAATAATTATACGCTATGGAGAAACTCAGAAATAGGCTATTCTTGTTTTATATTGCAAAAGCTTAGCAGTTAAGGCTTACTATCCTGGCATGCTATTCAGATAAATCAATACAGGTTCTGTGACTGAACCAGCTGTAGGTTATTCCATAAAAAGGTTCTTACCGATAAACGGTGTCTTAGGTAGGATGGACGGACGTGTGCGGTCTCTCTCTGCTGCTCTCCTCCAGCGCCGCAGCTCGCTGCTTGTTCATTTGCCGCAGACTCCGCCCCCTCCACATCCATTGGTCCAATGAACGCGGACCAAAGAGTATAGATGTGAAAAAGACAACCCCCCCCCCCCCCCCCTTTCCTGCTTCCCAATTTGTTTATGCGAACGTTCAATTTTAGTTACCTTTATTATAAAAATCTTTTCGACCTTCCTCTCTGCGGCTTGTTTACGAGTGACTGGGAGAGTGTCAACTTCGTACGGTTCAATACTTTTATTCAAATTATTTTAGCTCACCTGCCTCATTTTGTGTACCCTTTAGCAACACAACGGTCCTGAAATTAGTCTGCAACAACGGTTAGCAGAATTTATTTTAAGAAATGCGCAGTAATGTCACTTGTATTAACGAATATTCTTAAAAACCCGTCGCAACTTAGCTAAATATTCTTGCTGCTGCTGTTTTGAGTGAAAGGCTCAAGAACAGGTAGACACCTATCTTGACCTTAAGTGCAACAGTTAATTCCGTGTTATTTTAACTCTGTAGGTAAATATATCTCCTGTATAAATTACCCCTGAAAAAAAGCCTTTTTATGCCGTGTGCTATCTAAAAGTAGAAAAGCTCTGTCAACGAAAGCGTCACAACGGTTAAAAAAAAACAACAACCTGTACCTTGTTTGGGATTTGAAGTCCGTTTGGGTGGCCATCACAATGACGAGACATAAAAGAGAAGCACAGAAAGAACTACAACCATCCTCTGTTGTGATACCAACGACCAGCGCTCAACACCGCCCACACCGGCTCTCGGCGACAGTTTTGTCAGGCAGAAAACTTCCTGAATGAGACACAAACCACAACAAGAGCGGGTGAGTAATCTGTCAGACCAAATGACGGAAGCGTCTGTCTGTTTTTGTTCTATATTTTAAATTTCCGCTGTTATATCAGCTGCCGCTTAGCTAGCGATGTATAGCGCTTGTTAGCTTAGGACCGAGTTGATCACCTGCTCTAAACTGCTAATCTCATGTTAGCGCGTTAACGCTACCTGAATTAGGTGTTGTCCGCCTTTTACAGTATCCACCTTCTTGTCATCTGCTCGCTGCTTCTCTTCCCTTCATTGACAGCAGTATCACCGCAGGTTAAGTGTCGTGCAGTAACGTTACCTGTCAGTCCTCTCCCATCAGCCATATGTTGTTTTTTTTTCCAGTTACAAAGTTGTTAGGTTAACAACGTTACAGTGTATGGCACTGAACTTATAGCATCACCTCACATCACTGTCAATGTTTGCAACCACAAAGATCCGGTGAATAGTGTATGTAACTGTAATGTAACGTTAAATGTAAAGGGGACTACCCTCTCTTCCCCAGTTGTCAAATATTGATCAGTGTGCCATAGAAGGTCAGGCAGATAATTTGGTTTAAAAGTGCTACCACCGCAAAATTAAGGTGCTCGACCAGTAAATGCCACAACGAATTATGACCATAATCTTTGCAGTGTAATTTACAGTGTGGTGTTGATGCAAGGGTCCTATTAGAGAGCTCTAAGGGCCCTGCTGGCTTTAAACTCAACTAGATGGTACAGTAATGAGCCAGATATGCAAAATTATGGTTGTGAGCTTTATGCAAACTACTATACTAGAACCCTGTTACAGGCACACCTAAATATAATGCAGCCAAGTTGAAACGTCCACCTGGGCAAAGGTTTATCATGTACACGCAGATGCATAGCTAGGAATTATGGGTGCTATGCACAGATCTTACTGTAACCCGTCCTTTCCGGTCTTCTCAGTTTACACCATCTGTGGATGAAATCTTGACCTGTATTAAAATATCTTAACACATTAATTTAGGAGGACTGACTCAACCCTAATTGAATTAGTGTGTCTTGGAGTTAATTCTACTTGTATCACACCAGTTGTCCCTTATTCAGGAAGTTTTGTTTTTGTCTGCGCTCGAAGTATCAATGCCAAAGTATGTATTTGTTTTGTTGGTGTCAATGTTACGTGCACACACATTAGATGTAAGAACATCCCCATGTTGGGCCTAGCAAACCCCTGTCTAAATACAATATAAATTTGATGACCTTCATCTGTAGATCATTTGTGTTGCTAGGAAAAACCTTGGATCCATTTGTATACTTTGACAACTCTCCAGGATTATGAGAAGAGAGGACAATGTTCAAAATACAATTCAGTTGGATTAAAGTATAAATCTGGTTGAAACCCTTGTCTTTGCTGACCTCTAGTGGCAGAATCTGAATTGGGGACAGTATGTCTGTGTTTCCCAAAGGCCAAGATTACATCCTGAAATGTTTTTGTTTTTTCATCACAACCCAAAGATATTCAGTTCACTGTCAGAGAGGAGGAAAGAAAGTAGAAAATATTCACATTTAATTGGCTGGAATCAGAGAATTTCTTTTGTCCCAAAAAAATAACTCAAATCGAATATCAAAAGAGTTGTAGATTCAGTTAACAGTTGACAGCTGATCAATTAATCAGTTAACCGTAGCAGCCCGATTTACCGGTGCAACTAAGCACACTTTTGACTCCAGTGAGTGATACTGGGTGTGACCAGAGGTGAAACAGGTTTAAAAATTTAAACCAGAGACGCAGCAAAACACTGCTTGTCAGCCTGGTAGGTTTCACTGTAAAGCCTACAGAAGGGCTGACTCTAACTGTGTCTCTTGTTGTCTCCCGGTGGTAGCTGTTTGAATTCTTGTATGAAGACACAGTGACTGATCTTCCTCTCGCAATCAGGAAACAGTGCCACACTGGACCTATTTACAACCTTAGGCTCAATCCCATTTCCCCCCTTGCCCCTACCACTTGTTAGTGTTTGTGCAATAGTGGGTATGAAAAGAAGCAAAACATTAATAAACTTTATTTGAGCCCGCTTATTTACAGTTAGTAAGGAGTATAAAGTCTTGTGAATCTTAAAAGACAAGGCACACGCATGAAGACAGACTTGGTATGTAAGTGAGTGGCCCTGCCTTACTCTAAATGATCTATTGTATGATTAGAATGAAGAAGGACGACATATTGGATCGTGTGTGTGTGTGTGTGTGTGTGTGTGTGTGTGTGTGTGTGTAAAACTGAAGCGGAAAAAAATCACTTAGTCTGTATCATGGCCATGGTTCTATATTTATCACAGTGGTGTTTTTTATTGCAACAATAACATTGGAGAGGGTGTTCCTCATCCAGGTATGACTGCCAGTTTTGTCACCATTGCACCCAGTGGAACAGCAGAGTGCACACCCTTCAGCAATGTGGCTTTTACTTGACGATGATGTCTGCGACTGAAAAGCTTTTTGGGAAGTGGTACACACAGGATCTTGTGACATGAAATGGGAAGGAATAAAGCTGGTGCATTGCTGGAGTCATTATGAAATAGATTTTATGAATTTATTCTATCTTTAACCGAGCCACTATTCTGTCCCCTCTTTTCAAGAACATTTAAGTGGTTGAATTGATTATTGATTTTTCTTTTTTCCATTTCCATCCACCACCATCTATCTCTCCCTGCTTGTTCACCCGTCACTCTTCTTCTTCAGGTCCTTGTCTGCTCCCATTCTGTCAGTCTTACGTGAGTGATTGAATGCGGTGAAACTGGCATCAGTGGACAAGTGTACACACAGAGGGCCATTGATTGGTCAAGGATGACCATGGAAGACATGAAGAATGAAGCAGACACTGCATCACTCGCCTCTATGGCTCTCTACAGTGTGATGTATCCTGTCTTTAACCAGGTAAGGAATGCAGGCTTTCAGTGGAAGTGTAAAAAAAATAATAAAAAGAAGAACATGGGACAAACGAAGCCAAGGTTTTCTTGCTGAGACATAAATGTGGATGAAACTTGTGGTAAATATTCAGGTCATTAGGGGAGGTTGTAATATGTGTTTCATGAAAATGCTGTTGGAGGTTAACTTCTGTGCAACATTCAAAGGTTTGTGGTGTAGCAGAAAAGAAATAAAGAGGCCGTAGATGTTGAATGTCCCTTGTTAAAGCTGAGTTAAAAACACAGAAGAAGTGCTAACAAAGAAGTTACTGTCAATATGTGGACACTGTCACTGGGTGCTTGTGTCTACATGATTCTGCTGTATGTGTATGTGCACTTGTGTGGGTATGTTTAGTTAAGGTCTGTGCTCTGCATATTTACCAGTCTATTGCCACTTTTATGATTCAGACTGAAATATCCCATGACATTTTGTACCCACGTTAAGCTTCCCCTGAAGATAAATCCTAATCATGATGAATATGTTTTTACTTATTCATTGAAATAGCTGATGGATTCGCACCAGATTTTGTACATGCATTTGCAGTCCAGTAGCTCCACCCTGAGGCCGATGTAGTTGGTTTTAGTTAAATATCTCAACAACTATTGGATGGAAAGGTTTGACATTTGGTGCAGATATTCGAGGTCCCCATAGGATGAATTGTAAAAACTTTCATCACACATCAGGTCAAAATTGAAATTTGGTTTACAAACCTAAATACCTGCAAAGCTAATGACATTCCCATCAGCCTTAGCTGTACTTTGTGTTTAGAGCATGGGAACACGCTAAACTAAGATGGGGAACATTATACCCGCTAACCCTCAGCACCTTAGCATTGTCATCAGCGTGCTAATGTGATCATTTAGCTCAAAGCACCATTGTACAGCCTCACAAAGCCGCTAGCGTGGATGTAGGAAGTGGGCAAGCAAGTAAGTCTTCTTTTTCTATTCTCTGGATAACTATTATGAACAAATGTACAAATATAAAGTACAAATACCAAATTTAAACCAATCAAATACACAGGGCTTTCAACAATACAAGAGTCTTGATAGGAGATTGACTTTTAAAAGACACTTTATTTTAAAGCAACATGTGTGTGAGTACATGCTGTGTAAAATGACAAGACAAAAAGGCAGAACTTATAGTTTGAAGTTGTGACAAGCTCTTTAATATCAGAATCAGCTCAGACGACTGGAATAGACTTCAGTTCTCCTGAAGTTTAGCATTTCACAATAGAATAACAATATGTCCTCCTTTGAAAATGCAGGATCGCTGGCTTGTATGTACTTTCTGCAGAATTACATTTCAGGACAGAAGAGAGGCCATGATAAGAGCTAAGCCGAGTGTTTGTGTGGTGTTTTGTGCTGCTGGCTGATGTTTGTGTGTCTTTTATAACTTGCAGTTGGAGAAAGTCAACTTATCAGCTGCGCAGACCCTGAGAGCAGCTTTCATAAAGGTAACTAAACTAACAAAAACTAAACTTTGTTTGCATTTCATGGGATGAACTGCCATCTTCCTTCTAAAAATGGTGCCCTTACCTTTTTTAAAATCACTTTATACTGTGATCACTGTCAGTGCAGCTGTATGTTTGTGTGTTTAAAGGCAGAGAAGGAAAACCCAGGTCTGACCCAGGACATGGTTATGAAAATACTGGAGAAGAAGAACTTAAAAATCAACTATAGTGAGTCTCTACTTCGCATGGCTACAGACGACGTGGAAGGTAGGATGCTCGGTGAATGGTGCATACAAATACAGAAGGCGGCGGGGGGGGGTTATGAAGTGTCACAAAGGATAACAATACAGCAGTCTCACCATGAGATTTACAGTAGGTCAAAAGTGAGAAAGGTGTATTCAGCTTAACAATTTAACTTTGTGCCACCACAATTTATATTTGTTTACATACTATCTTGTTTACTTGCTGTCCTCCAGAGGCACGACATGCACAACACTGACTGTGTTGCTCAAAGACACTTTTGCAAGCTGGATGATTACTAACCCAGCTTCATGTGATGCCTCAGCCCATTATACAATAGCCCAATTATCCACTGGGGGGAGACGTTTCTCCACAAATCAACTGCTCTCCCGGTTCTCAATTGTTCCTTTTCTTACTGTAATTGAATTCCTTGCGCCGTGTACAGTGATTGATGGTAGTAATGAATTCACACATGCGCGCACACACACACATTGGATGAACTTTAAAAGTACCTCCTGCATGGCATAACCCAAGCTCAGTCCTGCCTTCACTTAACAAACTAAACATAGTTACAGTGTGTTCATACACTTACACTGTGGGTGTGTGTTTTTCACACATGGCACCATTAGTAAGTGCCTCATTTCAGTGTCCCAATGTCTGTTTGCGCGCACGCGTGTGTGTGAGTGTTGACTGTCCTCTTGGTGCTTTCAGAGTTCATGATTGACAGGCGAGAGCCAGAGTTCCAGGAGCTGAACGAGAGGGCCCGGGCTCTGAAACACATCCTCAGCACCATACCAGATGAGATCAATGACAGAGTTGGCTTCCTACAGACCATCAAGTAAGAATGAATGAAAAAGTTAAAATCTTCAATCTTTCAATATATCCTGGGCAGTTTTGAGGTCAGTCTGAGTGGACACAAATACACACATGTGGCTAGCTAGAGCTAATATCTGCATTGTTGGTACGCTGTTTGTTTGGGGCACATAAACAGACTGCACAAACAGTCCAGCCGTCCTATTCGTGTGACTAATGCCATGTGAAAATTTGCTTCGCGCTCTTGTCCGAACACACTTTCAGAGCTCCAGTCAAGATATGGTTTTGTGTTACTGCAGCACCTTTATTTAGCAAGATAGTATGTGCTTGTGTGCAGTAAGAATGAGCAAAAAAGAGGACTCACTGTAGTTAATAATTGCTTTTAAATAAATCTTTAATAGTAAACATCCAGATTTTACAGACATTTTACTAAAGAGAGTGTTTGACTTTCAGTCAGACACTCTCTGGAATAATCACATTGCTTTATCTTTTCCAACTGGTCAGTTGTGCTGTATCAAGGAATGGTAAAACAATAAATTAAGATCAGCGTTCCAAGTTACACATTTTTAATACTAGATGAAGTCATGTCAAATCAGGTGAGAAGTCTTCAGCATGGGTGTTCATTGGTGAGCTTGGGAATAGTATCTGTTACAAAATAATCTCAACTCAAAGGTCTTTTTATTTATTTATTTATGAGCTTTCAACCGCCTCTCACATCTTCATCAGCCAATCGAACCGGCCATGGTGTCATGGCATGACCCAAGTTTAGAAATCAAATCATTAAAACATGCAACACAAACACACACACACACACACACACTAAAGAGAGAAAGTAAAAGACGTTTCATTTTCTTGGCCCACTTTGCCATTATTTTGATCGAAGTCAATACTCTTAGTGAGTCACTGCTTAAGTTACTCACCCAGCAGAGGGCTTAGAAATAAAATCAATTCAAAAGGAATGCAACAGCAGATTTCAAGTGCGTTTCACGAATGTGAAAGCATTTTTGTTTGTGAGGAAAGGGAGACAACGAGCAGGATCAAAGAACTGTTGTTTCAGGATATCACTGCCTAATTTAAAAAGCAGACAGATTTTGAGATATTGTGTATTTTATTTATTTTTTTACATGCATTCATTTGTGTGTGTCATCCGCAGAGACATCGCCAGTGCCATCAAGGAGCTGCTAGACACAGTTAATACTGTCTTCAGGAAATACCAGTATCAGAATAGACGGGTGAGTAGAAACATGAAGAAGAAGAAGAAGAAGATGCTCACACATAAATGCATTTACTATGAAATAAGTGGAGCTGAAAAGCTGTCTGTATTTATTGGTTAGGCACTGGAAAAGCAGAAGAAAGAGTTTGTGAAATACTCCAAGAGCTTCAGTGACACTCTCAAAACCTACTTCAAAGATGGAAAGTATGACACTGTTTCGAGTTTATTCTCTGTTTTAGAAAGGTTTTCTTTTTTTTTCTGTCTGGTTTTCGTCCTCCCTGTCTGCTCTCTCAACTTGTTCAGCCTTTTCTATTTCACATGTGCACACCACTACCAACACATGTAATGAAACGTTGTACACGCACATACCGTGCATGCACACACACAAACACTGTCACCACCATGTAAATGGTTGTCGTTTGATCACAGGCCCGGTTCTATCAAATCCACCCTTGCTGAATAATTCCCTTGACCCATTTCCTTTGGATTCGTGCTGGCTTGTGTTCTCTGATGCCTGACATTCTCCATTCTAGCCAGATCAAAGTGTTTCCTGGATCAATCCTAATATTATTGCCATGGTTTCTTTGCTGTATGATTGACACATGTGTCCTTGTGTCTCTGTCACGGTTGTTTTCAGAGTGATAAACGTGTTTGTCAGCGCCAACCGGCTCATCCACCAGACCAACATGATCCTGCAGGCCTTCAAGACTGTGGTGTAGCAGCCGGAGAAGACACACACACAGTTTAAAAAAATTTTTTTTTAAGAGAATAGGTGATATGAGGCTTTGTAATTTGTCGAGACATTTTATTATTTTGGGCTGTATAATTTATAATTCTGTGGCTTTGAGGGGAGATCAGGTAGTTTGAGGTTCAAAGCAAGCCAGGTTGACAGTAATTGCCAGGGATTTTTAACTCTCTTTTATGTTGTTCTTTTATCAGATTCTTAAGTCGATATTTCTTCATTCCTTTATATATTTTCCTCTCTGTTCAGCACTGTGTAGTTCTGAAAAAGTTTAGGGAAAATGTGATTATTTCCTGTGTCCTTAAAAGTTTGGTTATTACACAAGTCTGAAAAGTACAGTGAAAAGAAGTGGCATTCAGTTTCCAACTACATTCCCACATTTTTGGACTTTAACTCTTAATTTAAATGTCACTGTTCTTTTGAAAAATAGAATCTTGATGTATATGGTGGTATCACATACTTGGCACTAATATCCTGCCACTATCAGCATGCAGCATATTCAACTTAAATCTGAAAGGTTCAAATCCTGTAAAGAGATGGAGGAAAAAGTTCAGGAATTTAAAATGAAGACTGTGTTCACTGACTGCTTCCTTTGTCCTGTACTACTCTAATATTCACTGCTTCACCCACTGCATCTCAAACACAACACACCCAGGTTAGCAGTTTCTTTTTACTTTAGTTACAGAAATGTATGTGAATAGTTCACATTTACTGTCTACTAACAATAGATAGTCCACTATATAAACGAACACGTGGCTTTTTTTAATGATAGGTGGTCAGAGATGCAAAATCTTAACATAATGATCCAAACCACATTTGGGTTGTGTAGATGTACTGGGGATGTGTGTCCGGTCTGTTTTTTTTTTTTGCTGTATTTCAGCCGTTTCTAACATTTTCCCTATTTGACCCCTTAAAATAATATCTACTTGTGACTCGCATGGTTAGGGCCTTGGTGGACATGAGGTTTGAGCAGTTTAAACCAGAGTGATTATTATAAAAAAAAAAATTCTTTCTCTGATTTAAAAGGTTTTTACAGGCCTGACGAGGTAAAAGTATTAAGTATTTCTTATGAATGCGTTTTCTTTTTAATCCTCAGATTTGTTACATTGGGAACCACTGTTGTATACATTTATAGAAAAGGAGAATCACTTTTGAGGCTTACATTTCATTTTATTGTTTGATGGTGAAATGGTGGTGGTTTGATCAGAGGTATTTTCAGAAATCCACCAATGTCAGTGGTAAACATCTGTGTCAGTGTCAGATACCTATCATCAATGAGCAAATCCTTTGTTTTGGACTCCCGATTTGTACCACAATCTCATACGGGGCACAGCTGTGATTACGTGGCCAGAACCTGGAGCTCAAAAGCAGGTTGGCTTGTAGAGTCCATATTGAAAATCACAGAGTAGTTAAAGGTCAATACAACAAACAGTTGGCAGTTGGCTTGGTTTTGGAAAAAGAGGTACAAGAGAAAACGTTACATGACATCAATGCTCAGACTGACAAACAGTGACTTTCTTGCAACTGCTTGATTTACAGATATGAATGTACGGATCAATACAAACCTAAATGGATGGTTTATTCTAGTTGACACAAATGTGTTTGACCGGTATGAATGTATAATTTTTCTTTTCTGTCTTTTTGCAAAGGCCATGACAACCACATGTAAATAAAATAAAGGGACTTGGAATTCAGAACAAGAGTCGGTAAGAGTGTGTTGGGAAATTTCTTTTTATTGCAAAAGAGTTTTGTCATTTGAAAAAGATTTTCAGAAGTGGGTCTCTCTTCAGATTTGCATTGTTGTATGAAAGTGCTTCATTTCCGCTCAGTTGCCCTTGCATTCTCTTTCTTCGCCCGCACCTCTTTCCTCTCAGGACTAAGATCCGTACCAATTTTTTCCCCATTCCAGCAACTTCATTCTTCTCCCTGTATAATAGTGGATTTTCCATGGTGGATTTGTGGTGGGCTATTTTGGGCTCTGCGCTGGCTCCTACATGCACCACTCTAATCCAATTGTGATAGTGTTAATTTTTAAAGCTTTATTATTGAAATTGCTGAGACCTAATTTTCTGATCCTGTCACCGTTGACGGCCGCTGTAATCAGCTAATTCAAGTTATTCCAGGCCATTAAGTCACACACAGGGATTGGTCGTGGTCGCTGAAGCAGCAGGGAAGGAGGGAAATGATAGTATCTGTTGGATGTACAACTTCTGTGTATTCATGGCATCTATTTGTCTGAGTTTAACAAATCCCTGCAACGTTTCCCCCCCTCCTTTTGTGTGTGTGTGTGTGTGTGTGTGTTGTGTGTACGTGTACAGTTAAGAGTGACCCACAGGAAGTCCTCTCAAAGGCATTTGAATGGCACAATAAAGCTCTGGTGTTGTGTGTTTTATCTTTGTGCTGGTTCAGGTTCATATCAGTACTTTTTAAAGTTGTTTGAATACACAAAAACTTTTATGAGTGGCAGTAGAATGCTAATGCGCTTGTGAATTGTGTTGCTGTGTCTATGGTTTGTGTGTGTGTGTGTGTGTTTGTGTAGGGGAGTAATTGTACCTAATCTGTGAACAGAAGACACACACACACACACACACACACACACACACACACACACACACACACACACACACACACACACACACACACACACACACACACACACACACACACACACACACTCTCTCTCATTGTGTCGCATACAGACGATAGAGCCTGGACTAACAAACACTCTTTTTGACTACTTGGTTGCCAGGAAACTTAGCCTGAGTCTTTGAGAGTGAGGGATAATAAAAAAGAAAAGAACTGTGTGTGTGTGTGTGTGTGTGTGTGTGTGTGTGTGTGTGTGTGTGTGTGTGTGTGTGTGTGTGTGTGTGTGTGTGTGTGTGTGTGTGTGTGTGTGTGTGTGTGTGTGTGTGTGTGGCCTCTGCCACTGTCTGGGCTACTGGGGGCAGTTAGTTAACTCTCTCCGGGCGTGTGTGCTGCAGCCAGGGCTTTTAGCGTTGATTGCTTCTCAGACATCGCTGGTTTAGACAAACCTCTGGACACAAAGCTCAGGACTCCTGGAATCATCTGAATCCCAAAGATCCGGCCATGGCCAAGACAGATTTGTTTGAAATGTCATACATTTGAAAAAAAAAAAAAAGGTGTTTCAACGCCTCGGAGCACGGGGGACTCTGGGACAGAGGTATGTTTACTCTGGACACCCGTTGTGGACTGAGAGGATGAAATTGGTCTTCTTGGTAAGTTTGAATATGTGAACAGAAACTGTGTGTTCAGCTCTATTATATGGACATGATTAAAAAACTGCTTGATGTTTAGACACCAGCAGCCCTGGCAAAGTACAGCTAACTTGACAGCGATGTTGCCAGGCCAAGAACCTGTCATGCAGTTACAGCCTGGTGCTGAGATGGTTTTTTGGATGGTTTGACTGCAGTGGATGATACTCTGTACAACTGTAATAAACCCGCAGTGACAGTTTCGAGAGAGGCTGGACCTGAAGAGGCCAGCTAGGAAGAAGAGAGGCCACCCTGGTAAGTGGCAACACATACGACAGCACTATACACCGTTTTTTTTTTTATTTATTCCTTGAGTTATCTTCTCATATTAGCACAACTGAAAACCGTTCCTTAAATGTCAGTTTGTAACATTTATATGCTCGATATATTTGTTCAAACAGCAATATGTGTAGTGCATCAGCTGACAATATGGGCTTATTTTTGTGTTGATTTTATGGAACTGTCTGTGTAATCTCATAAAGAGCAATGCCAGCTGCTTGCCACAGAACAAGTCAGGACGTACTTGATTAAAAGTTATCACTCTCATAAACAGAATATGCTTGAAATTGTCCCCAAGGTTTTACCATTCTTCTCATTTGTTACTGTAGCATAAACATATCTGTTGCAGTCTACTACTTGTTGTCAGTGATGTAAATAAAGAGGTGGATAAACCATCATCAGCTATCAGGATCACGCTGCAGTTAATCACCATTATAAAAAGATAATAGCCTCAGCAAAAGCATTGATTTTCTTTGCTTTCATTATGCACCCTGTCATCTAAATCTCAGCGCAGTTTGATGCCACTTACACTGAATTTGTCTCATAAACGTTTATGTCGGGCTCAAAATGAAAGTGTGTTTTCTGTCCTCCACTGGCCTTTGTAGTGTTTTGTTGAGTGTTTTAAAAAGAAACTTTTCATCATCTCACATTTCGCTCTTAGTCCATCAAACGCGCTTTTAATCACCACATATGCTAATCTAACAAATCCTGCCTTTTATTCATACTTTTATTTATGCTGCTCATCTACCTGACTTCAGTAGGCCTATTTTATTTCACCTTACCTGACATAACAGGGACTTGACATGCTTTGGCAACCTGCCGCCTCCTCGAGTCATTCCTGAGACATAATTCGGGGACCTATTCACACACTTTTTAAAAAGCCACCGAACTGTGGGGAAAATATCTGTTGAAAATGAAAGACCTTTGCACACCATTCAACACAGACATGTTTGGATGGAGTGAAAAGAGCCGACAAAAGAAGTCCACTGCTGTGACGCCGCTGTATGATTATGGTGACATGACAACCTGCTGTGAAACAGATATGGAAGGTTACTGAGGGATTAGTAAAGCTGGGGACATCTCGTTTCGTCCTAGAGATGCGGGGAGTCTATTATTTGACTGTGAGTCTTCAGCACAGACTCACATGCACAGGCTTTACCTTCCTGACCTTGTCTGGTATGTTGGTGATTGATTGACAGGTCTGAGCTGTAACCATGGGAACAAGGATGGAGGTGGCACAGCTTGAGAGTCGGATGGACACTGAGGACTATAGAAAGCTACAGGGCCTTTTCCAGGTGAGTGTCTGTTTTTTTTTGTCTTTTTTTGGAACATTGTCATATTACAAAGAAGTTTAATTCACATGAGAGACACTAGAAGAGCATTATAATTTATACTGTATCTCTCTGTTTACCAGTATCCCACAGTACCACCCCTCCAGGTCTCATAAGAAATGTTTTAGAGACAGTCTGCAGCACATTGTGTTCAAGTGCTTAAGAGACTATATGTGTCTTTGTGCAGACATTGTGCAATGTCTCCTGTTGATCTTGATACAGGACGCCTCTGGTGCATCTCGCTCCTTGTCCAGAGCGGAATTTATCAATCTGGCTTGGTCCTCGGTTGGCCGTGGCTCCAAGGAGGAGTATGGCCTCCTGTTTGACAGTGTGGTTGTCACTCAGGAGCACCGCGGCCTCCTTCTGGACATTGATGCCGTGAAAGAAGAGGGACGGGTCGATTGGGGAGGCCTGTGCTCTTTCCTACTACTGGAGCTTTCTGATAAAGTGAAGAACACCAGAACTGGCAGTCTGCCTTGCTGGAAGCCCCCGCGCACTTTGACCTGTCCACATCGAGACTCGGTCCAAAAGGTAGAAGGGTCACTGACCTCTTGGAGACTTGGCGAGGGTTAGATTAGTTACCCCTTTTAAACACATGATCTATTGCGGCATGTTATCTGAAAAACATTTTGACATTGACCGGCTGAAGAATCCAAAACTCTGCTGACTGAGTGGAATTCCACTTTATTAAAAAGTGTGCGTGGAAAAGTTCGAAAGTATTAGGGTCTTGCTCATCAAAATGGCACTCCTCTTTTGAGATAAATGGCTCTGGACTCCTTTAAGTTTAACATCTATCAATTAATATGTAAATGAAGCGGCCGGTATAAAGTGCCTACTGGTGTGGATAAAGTGATGGCTCACCACTTTAATCTTTCAATCCTGAGAATGTCAAAATGTTGTGTAAGTTGTTTTCCAAATGGCTGGAAGGTTGTGACCCCTTTAGCTTAGATCAGTCTTAAAGAGGCAGACAGACTATGTCACTTAGAAGACTCACAGTTCTGAAATGTGAAAAATATACTCGAAGCTGCACTAATTCATATTTTTATATAAAAAGAGGTTGCTTGTTGTGACGAACCCACAGAGAAGTCACACGACTGTGTAGTTCACCTCAGCTCTACAGAAGGTTTTAGCCTCTTTCAGTTGAGCGTTTAAAGCGTGCAAAGTTATCAATAGCAGATTATTTAGCAGCTAAAGAGCCAAATAATTCCCTCAGGCATTGGAGAGCTATATGAACAATAAAAAGGGCAATGTCAGTTTTAAGTTTTTAAAACAATATACAACAGGTTACACATACTTTGGTGCTCCATTTGGTACATCTGTGGGGAAAAAAATCGCTAGAAACTCATTGAACCAGTGATTCACTAGCTGTATAAACAGGTAATTAGAATGAATAGAGATAAATACACCGCACGCCAATCTTGAGATCCTACAAAGTCTGCTGTTGTTGAGGGAAAGTGACCAAGTCTGCAGTGATTGCATTGGTAGTGAATCTGAGCCCTGACCCCTGCTCTGTAAGTATTAATAAACCTTTCTTGAATGTCTCTTTCTCATCAGACACAGTCAGCTTGAGCCTTTTTTCTGCAGCTCTGTTTTCCCCCCTCGTGGCTTAGCCAATAAAATGGCATCATTGATTAATCCTTTTTGTTTTATTGGTTTCAGCACAGAGGACTGTGCTCTACATCTCACTACACTAAGAAGATTTATGTTTCGTGGAGTTATTGTGTAGTTTTATTGCTAAAGATTAGTAAGAAAGGAAAGGAAATTATAGCTGAAATATTTTAAAGGCTTTCATCTTAAAGGCTGTAGCCTCCATTTTATTA